GTGTTTCTGTGATTCTGTGATTCTGAGTAGATGAGCACAGAGAAATTCATGTGAGCTGGGGTTTTTAATTTTAACGATGTACCAAGAGAAGGAGAATCCATCTAGGACACAACTAAGGAAAAGCCTAAATTGCGTTTGGAAGCAAGGTGGGCTTGTCGGCCTGCTGCTGCAGCGGGGAGGCCTCACGGCAGCTCTGCAGCTGCCCTCCAGTTTGCTGAACGGGCTGTGGCACTGGCACCTCTGCAGGAGGAGAAGAAAGACTGTCCTCGCTTTCCTTGTCAGAGGTTGCTCCTCTAGGGACCCTCAGCACTCAGAAAAACCCGTGCACCTTACCAGGCTTTCTTGATGTCAGTAGAAGTGGGGGAAACATTGATATAAGTGGCCCATCTTTGCCTGTATGAGGACTGGTAGGAAGATTTTTTGATTTTAAAAAGCAGAGTCACCCTATTGGAAAGTCACCCTATTTGCGTTCACACCGAACGCAAATTTACCTGCTTTGTTCACCTTTTTTTGCTTTGCATCAAATTTCTAAAGCAAAGTAAATTCATTCTGCCAGTCAAAACTGAGGACTACACTTTCTTTTAAGATTTATTCTGTATCTTTGTCACCCTCATTCTTGGTCTCCCCTCTGGTCGCTCCCTGGAAGGAATCAGTGTTCCTCCACATCTGGGAGGGGTCAAACCGTTTAGGGTACCCCTGACAAGGGGCAGGCTGGGTGGGAAGGCGTGAGGGCTGGAGGCAGCAGTCTGTGGGGGCTGTCTCCCCATGAGCAGTTCCTGGTCCCCTCTCCAGCCCACACCCTTCAACCCCAGCATCCATCTGCTTTCTCCACCACAGCCACCGCCACAACTTCACTACGGATGCTCTGAAGGAGTTCACAGCTCTCCTTCCTAGCAACAAGGGCTAATCCTGGACTATTCTTTGAGAGTTATTTCCACAGGCTTTTGTCCTGTTTTGCTTTGGGTTTTTTCTCTGTTTGCGGTTTGCTCCCCACCCCCCCAATTTAAAAATGAAGAATCCAGAGCTGACAGGACAGGCCAAACACTTGGAAGAATTGCTTTAGACAGCTGTAGATGACTGTGACTTGTGAATAATTTTTTCCAGAGTAAAGTCTGGAATAAGCATACTTCAGTTCTGCTGTAGCTGTTCTGAAGTTTCATGTGGGATACAAGGCATTTGCCCCGATCCCATAAATCCACTCCAGAAAGAAGACTCCCCACAGATGAAACCCTACCACTTTTAGTGCAGTTGCCCAAAAAGTACAGCACAGCGTACGTAAACAAGGTGCTGCGAGACTAGCCATGAGAACAGCCACAGCTCTGACCGGGACCTGTGCTGCACAGCACTGCTGCGTGAGTCTTATGAGAAAATTTATTAAACTTTTTGGCCTACAAGAAGTCCCATAGTGGAAGGATTTTGTTTTGTCTATGTTAAAATTTTGATGGGGATTTGAGAGTTTTGACGGGGATTTGAAGTTTTGAAAACTTCAACATATCATTAAAATTACCTTTTTTATATACCATAGTGGTTTTTATCATTGTACTGAATTCCTGCAGCTAACAACACATTCACTATTTTATTCTGTTCCACCTGAAAAAAAAAAATGTTAAAAGACATTTATGTTATGTATTTTCCAACATTTGTTTAACTGCTAGAAAAATACTAACTGGAAGAAACACCAGAGGGTTTCAGTTAGCCAGGGGCATAATATAGAGCTGATCTGGTAATACCATGGTGACAAAATACAGATTGCTCCAAAATGTTACAATGCCAAGGAGTAGAGAGCGGATCTTCTGACTCTTCAGCTTTATTCCTTTACCTTTCTTTAAAAAGTAAGAATAACACAAAGATATATTGGTTTGCTATTTTCCTTTTCCTTTTTATTTGTTGAGCAACTATGTCTGTTCCAGGGTCCCAATCTTTAAATGGGTCTTGTAGACATTGTCGCAGTACAAAGAATTTCTATTATCCCACAGTGGGCCAAAAACTAACTGAAATCAAATGCTGGTTTATGAGCTCCTGTCCATCTTCTCTGGGATCTTCTTCTTTCTTTCAAGAATAGTTCATTTTTCTTTCAATTCCCTTCTGTGACCTCAATAGCAATTTATTGATAAGCAGCATGCTCATAAAGAGCTGAAACACTGTCTTGCCAAAATACATGTACATTCACCTACAATCCTTACATTTGACTATAATCTCACTTTGCCCTCTAGTGCCTATTCTGTTTTTTTCCTGCACTGCAAAGTACCCTGTTGACTGAAGTATGTCAAATCATATTTTTATTTTGCAATGAGATTTTTAAGGATAGTTATGAACTAAAAAGGGAGTTTAATGGTATGAGAATTTCTGAACAATTAATGGGCCATGAATTACCATATTTCCACTACAGGTAAGCAATGCAGTAAGAACTGGCATCCTTCAGGAGAGAGGCAGCTGAAAGTATTTTATGTCGTTTAAAAATTTCAGTGAAAATAAGACCATTTCAATAACAATTTACTTCATCGCAGAAGCCACTGGGGATATGAGAACCAGAACAGTAAGTAGGCTGAATGTCATTTTATTGTACACGCTTGAAGAAATGCAAAAAACAAATAAGCAGAAGAAATAAAATTTGAAACAGTCTGTCAGTGTGCCTGTTTCAAGTGCTATTAGTTACAAAGCCCAAGAAATATACCTTTTTTCTGTAACATTTGTGGCAGCGTGTCACCAGGCTCTGATATTTTGCTGTTTCTTTGGTCTTTTCTGTTGTTCTGGGCCATGGTGAAGTTGTTAGCTGGTTTTATTTCTGGTATTTCAGCTTCAGACCTGATAACCCATGTCCCTCGTCAGTTCTCTACCTTGCATCCATGAGTGGTAGAGGAGAGTATGTACACCCTGGAAAAGAGACCTGTGTCATTGATATGGTATCTGAGATCTGGTGTACCATTGCTATTGTTCTTAGCAGTCAATTTTTTGTTTGATTGATGTACCTTTTTATTATCACCCCTTTGAACTATACTCTTCTGAATAGCCAGGGATCAGGGAAAGCTTTAAAATGGTTCCTTACCTGATGCTTAAACCAACCACTAGCCATTTCAGCCCTCTGGGACTAACATCACCCTCTCTTGGGAGCCACAGACATGCTCTCTCTCCTCTGCTTCTTCATGCCAGACCCAGAATCCTGTGCCAAATGTACATCAGCCTTGGCCACGAGAAATAGCTTTTATAAAAAAATGGTTGTTTTTTTAAACATTTTTACCAATATTCATTAGGTAACAGAGCCTGGATATAACCCTGTTTTCCCCCTTACTATCATACAGCAAGTGACTAGGGAAAACACAACCATCTGAAATGGAGTTACCCAGGGACAATTTCCCAAGGGTAAAATCCAGGCTTGACCTCTCAGATATTAGTTGATTTTGCCCAGTTTGTCGCAAGTTGTTTTAAAGAATTTGCTTATATTGCAATCATTACTCAAGGCTATATGGTTTGGTAGGGAAATTCATTGGAATACCAAGGACTATATGTTTCTGTGGACCAATTTGTGAGCAAAGGGAAAGGAGCGAAAAATTTCAGGCAGCAGTAAAACAAACACAGGACCAAATGGTGATGTTTGAGATGGTAGTAGCCAGGATGAATACATCCATGAGCAAGCAGGATATGCCACAGGCAGATGTGACTTTAGGGTACTTTTATGCAGAGAAGTTATTTCAAATAAGTTTGTGAAAGAAGTTAAAGTGTTTTGGAAACAGAGCAGGAAGGGAAAAAGCCTTTCCTCCAGGTAGTTAGAGGAGGCAAAGATACTTCAATTAAAAATAACAATATCCAACTGAGAAGGTACTGCAGATGCCATAGCTACTACAAACAATATCCCATGTAGACAAATCCTTCTAGAATTACTTTACCCCTTTCAACAAAGGAAAAGTTAGAATGACTCAAATGTAAAAAAAACCCATATATTTTTGGAAAAGAGCATACAGACTTTGACAGAATAATGAATGGTTTCAACCTAAAACAGGACCACTTAAATAAACAATATACTACTTTATTTTTTATGCAGACTCAATCAGTACAAATCTAGCAATTCCTGTAAGCTGTGGGATGTGTTGTCCATTCACAAATACATGATTCTCTACATGTAGGTGAAATAGAGGTGGAAAGTAGCAGCACATCTTCTCAGCAGAAAACAAGATAGGGTGACACTATTTGTCATAAGATTACAATCCTTTCCTATGAAAAACCCTCACTGAAAACTCACATAGATTAATTTATAGCCAGTGTAGACACCTGGCTTACCAAGGGAAAAATTTACTTATATTGAATAATGCACTACATTTGCAAAAACACGTTTCAGCAACATAATTATTTAACTACAGTCAAAATGAACTAGAAGCACTGCCACACATAGAACAAATAATAGTTATAAATACTTTTAAAGCTAAGTTATGTCAGTCAAAATCTTTGTACCTTATTTGTTAAGTTTCCTTATGACTTTATCAATCAATTGAAGACATCTCCTCATTTCTGCACGGCTGATCTCCCAGGAGCACAGGTTGTATTGTTTGTCTTTAAGAAAACGGTCTATTTTTTGGAAGTACTTTTTCAGTTTCAGCCTGTTGACTTCTTTGCTCTGAAAGTAGTGGGTCCGCTTCTTGATTACACATGCCTCCAATTGCTCAATTTGCTGATAAAGTCCATTTTGGAATTGTTCTAAAGATGTCCCATCCCAAGCAGCTAGAGTCAGATTTTTGCTAAAGATATAGAAGATGTGTTGGAAGATCTCATCAATGGCCACTTTGACAGTCTCTCTCTGTCTGGGTTTTAGAACCTGTTCAGGAAATCTGAAGGACATTTTCTCTCTTAGACATTGTTGAGGAAATTTTTTGCCCATTTTGTCCAAAAGTTGCAGGCTGTTCTCGATCACTTTTCTTTGCTGTAAAGGAAGGTGATTACAGTGAAGACTGGAGATGGTGGTGGTGCACAACACTATGAGGCCAATTTGTATCAAGCCAAAAGGGTTCATTGTAAAGACAAGCTCTTACGTTCCTCCTTTCCTGTGTATAAATTCTGAGAGACAGGCTGGGATGCTTTGAAGGTCATTCGTAGGCTCCTCTTTCTTCAAAATCTTGAAATTTAATTATTCTGTAGGAGAAGTTTTCTTTCATCATTTTTTGGTTTTTAAGGTTTTCCCCCTTGTGTATGCTTTTGACACTTAACCACTTTCATTTTCTGCTTTATGACTTCATTGTCTGGTTTTTTTTTTTTTTTTTTGCTACTTTCTTTTTATTTCAGCTGGATATTAGAAAGTTATATACATATCTTAGATGATCTATTCCCTCTCCCTCAAAAATACTACAGGAAGTATAAAGAGAATTTAAAAGAAAAAGTTACAGAAATATAGTTAGTTTCTTAATATTTTAGCAGTGGAAGAACATGTTGAAAGCAAGTAATACTCTTGGTGATAGGTCAGCGACCTGCTGAATACTACTGCCATCCTGTCTCCTTAGCATGGTTTATAGTCCCAAAATTCAGTTAAGCTTTCTCTACCTATTTCCTTTCAGATAAAATATTTTCTTTCTCCTCACCTTTATCTCTCTTGGCCATTTAGAGTCAAAGGACAGATGCCATATCATTAAAATATATGTGTGGGGTGTGTGTGTGTATATGTAGAAAATATGTGTATATGCATTAATATACCCATGCGTATTTTAACACATACACACTGCTAATTAAATGAGGCCTTGATCTCACTTAGAGACTGTAAGTGCCATGCAAGTACAAATACTCACATGGGAACAGGTTAGATACGTGGACAAAATACTCTTTTTTTTCCCCCATATGAGTAACTGAGCAATAATTAATACCAATGCCAGTAGAGCACAGGTCTGCATTCCAACATTAAGTGGGAAGGGAATGAATAGAGAAGACAAAAAATACTCTAAAATTCAGCCATTTGCTTTCCCCAGCTATATACTAGAGGAGGTTCAGACTATCACAGTACATTGGGAAATCTGGCTCCTGTGTTTGAATTTCTTTTGATGAAAGATAGTCTTAAACTATCATTTTGCTGTCTCCCCAGCCTCCTGTGCAAACGTATGTCATTGCAAAGGCAGTTCTCTGCAGGTGATTATGTCTTGATGAAGAGGTCAGATGAACTGTTTTTTTTAGTCTGAGACCTGGTGCTGTACTTTTGTTCTGTTGTTGCACCCATTACAATGTGGTTGGATTCATTCCCAGTCTGGTAGTAGTCACCCTGAGCAGATTTATGAGACTATTTTAGGGCTTCCTTTGTGTTCAGCACATCATAGCTATTTGGGAGGCTTTAGAAAGTTGTAAATTAAGCTGAGCACAGTTATTCACATAAGCCAACTCCTTGGATGCCCTGATGTTGCTTAAGCAATGTTGGATTGGATGTACTGCCAGTGTGAGGAAAAAATGGATCCCCTATCACCTATGACAGTATTAAATTAAAAAAGTAAGAATAATCAGAGCAGCATATAAAATGCATATTTTCACTCAGTGGGAATGTTCATTACTGTGGAAAAGCTGGCCTGAAACGCATTATTGTATTAGATACAAAATGGTCACAGAGATGTATCACTTTTGCAAAAGTACAGCTGTAGAAGGTAAACACATAACATATTACAATCATCACGAAATAAATAAAAAATTTATTTAGCTCAAGACAAATATTTAATACCGCTACAGCTATTTCCATAAATTATACACAAGTATTTTTTCCAAACTATAATGGTTATATGAGCTTAATCCTTCTACTGATTTAAACACGAAATTTCTTCACATTCAATGTATCTCCTAGACACACAAGTTCTTTCTTTCCCCTTGCAAAATAGTTTTTCACATGTTTCCCTCCCAGTGAAGAGCTGGAAATGCCATCCTGGGTGTCACAAACATTACAGAGGGGAAACACAGAAGATGGTCTCTTCCAGATTTCTTACAAAGACAGAGCTGGTCCAGGTGTTTGATTCTCTTGTCTGTGTTAACAGATCATATGTCCACTCTTCCTCACAGAACAGCTATACTTGACTTAGTCCATGAGGTTTTCAGGTTTTCTGGGGTTTTTTTTTGGTTTGTTGGGTTTTTTTTTTTAATAGCAACAAGTTGTTCTTCCCCACGCAGGTAGTTTCTTGATTATTGCACTGAGCAAAGCGTAATAGTAACATTGCGTGATTCAGGACACAGTCTCCCCTAAGCAACTACCTTTACTGCTTAATTCAGAAACAAACAGTTCATTAAAAGTAATGTCTGGAAGCGGTAACTGAGTGATATGAAGCTGCAGCACAGATTATTTCTCTGCCTGTGGTTGCAGCACAGATCAACTCTAACCTTGAATGAAAAGAGGAAATAAGTTTACAAAGCACAGCTGTATTTCCAAGTAGACCTAACAGATCATTATTCTAGAAAGATAATCTGATTTTCAATTCCATGCAAGAAAGATCTGCCCTTAAAAGGTCAGCTAGCTATATATGTATTCATTACAGAAGTGTAACACTAGTGCACCATTTTCTGTCTTTCTAACAGCTTTAAAATGCCACAAACTGCTTCCCTAAAGGAAGTTTTAAATTTCATTTTATAATGCAATAGAGGAATTAAATGAATATTCGCTATCCCTTATGACATGGGTTCTTTTATCTCAGACACCGAGGCAAGTGGTAAGTCTAAGCTTAGCCTACGAATATGCTGGCAAATGGAGCAGTGCGAGGGAACATTCCTGCAAAATAGTGTGCTTTTGGCCTCTGACAACTATCCCATGTTAAATCACTTCGTATAACCTTACACCAGCTTTCTCAAATCAAAATAACCAGTTCCTCACAACATTTCATCTACTCCAGGTGCCAGGTTTTTTTCTCCTTTAATTCATTCAAAACACACTGATTTTACAAGTCAACATGCCACGAAGGAGTCCAAGTAGGTTCAGCTTGTCACTGTACAAGATGGCTTCCTCCCCCGCTAGCTTGACACTTCCCATGTTAAAATAATTTTTCTCCATTATACTTTACATCACAGCTATAATTTGCCAGTCCTCTCCCTTAAACATCTAAATTCTTTCTTTGTTACTACTTTTTTTAAGCAAAAACTTCAAATACAAGCAAGATAGATAGATTGTAATTCTTTCCTCTATCCTAAGACCATGTGGCTGGCCACATGCAAGCCTCATGCTGTGATGGACAAAGGCAGAAGCAGCCAAAAGAGCACATGCACCAGCCAAAAATGGGATAGCACAGGTTTAATACTACAGCTGGAAGAATTCCATATGGATGGATAAAGCTAAGAATTTTTTTTTTTTGCTACAAAATCTGCCATGGAGATGAATACTTTACTCACTTTTAAATTATTAAAGCACAGTTAATTTAGCTCATATGCTACAATTTCCTTCACAATCACTATTACAGTCTGCATTAAGAAGTTAAAATCTAACTTAGCCATGTGACCTTCCCATCTCAGAAGACCATTTCTTGGCACCCTGTTGACCTGTCCTACTTGAAGTAACTGTCTTATCTTATGCTGAGTAATTCACTGAAACCATTTGTGCCATACATGCTTGCTTTTGCAACGTACTGTTTCAAGAAGTACAATTTTACAAAAAAGGCTATTAACAAATAATTTAAAACCCCTATGTGCTACAAATTCTGTTTACCAGAAAAGAAATTTAACAGAGCAGTGCTCAGCAAAGTAGGTATTATCATAATCTACTTTATAGAAGCACAGAAGTAAAAAAAAAATCACTATTTCCATTTCTGTCACTAAAGGTCTGTTGCCTTAATTATAAAAACATATGAAAATGTCATCAGGAACTTTTTTGTCCTGCTTATAAAAGGACCAGGACCTACAGTCCTTTTTGTAAGGAACCAAATTATCTGGGAGTATATTTACTTCCTTGTATTGACAACTTGGAGATTAGCACACACTGCCTTTTTGCCCTCACCGAGGCTCTTACATTTGGTAGTGTGAACTGGCAAAACCACGGGGCATAGACAGGTTCTTTGGATGCTTTGCTGGAAATATCACATTATTTATCACATTGAATGGGCATTTACTCTGAAAAAGTGCTCAGACCTTAAACTCTTGAATACACATGGCATTCATTTTTTAATAGGTGAATTCCTAAAGGATTGTAGTTTGCAGAGACTCTAATAATAAAGTCTATAAAGACTATAATATAGTCTATAAAGACTATATAATATAATCTATAAAGACTATAAAAATAAGTAAATAGAATAAAGACTATTCTGAGTGGCAACTGCCTTCTTAAAATGGAGGTTCTCTCACATTCATTTTATAATGAGAAAAACCACAGGTGCCCAAGCTAAAATGCTTTTCAAACTCTTCTGTTTATCTCAAAAAGCCAGACATTTTCGAAAACAAATTTGCATAGGAATAGTGATTTTTATGAAATCTGAACAGCATAAAGGCAGCCTTAGAGAATGCCATGACAAAGGTCATAAAAAATACTTGAGTGTATAAAATAAAAACGGGAAAGATTAAATGCCTATAAATATAGCCCTGAAAATTACTATAAAATATGAGGCGAATACATAAGGAAATGGGCAAATATGTGAGGCAGTCGTAGTTTTACAATTACGGAGGGAAGCAGCAGGAGCCAGCTTAGACCGTTTTGGCCGGTCAGGACAGGCAGGGGTTGGTAGCATGCACCCAAAGGCCAGGGTTGGATATCTCCCCTCTCTGGTATCCCAAGGGTGGCCAACCCAGGACAGTGTCCCCTGAGGAAAAAGGTCCAAGGCAGCCGAGCAGGGTACTCTGCTCCTGGAGGTGGAGGCGAGCGCTGGAGGAGTAAGAGGCCAGCGCAGAGACAGGCTGCGGAGCAGAAACAGCTGGGAGAGGACAGGGAGTGAGCTGCAGCCTAAAGGAGCTGGCCCTAAAGACCCTAAAGGGGCCACGTTCAGGAGACTGGGAGGTGAGCTCCGTTTGGGGGACGCATGTCCCACTCTCCTCCAGCTGCCCCACTGCCCCATGCCCTTCTCTAGCTGGCGTGCAGCACCT